ATTTAATTTTTAATCAAATAAATTTAAAACTCAATTAAAACTTAATTATTGATTACGATTTTGTCTACCTTTAAATTTTGTTAGATTATAAATTTTTTAACTTAATTTTAATCCACTCATAATTGACTGTGCTCTTAGGACAAGTGAGTAATCACTTTTGCCTAACCGTGCAGAACAAATACAATTGTAACTTGTGCGTAAAAATAATAAGGAAGCCACCGCCATTATATTAAATTATAATAATAAAATTAATATAATTACAATGTTATTTAGTAATATTTCATATTATTTATGAGTTTATATTATATATGTTAATTTATGTATCAAATTAAAAAATTATATTATAAAATAAAACTATGGTGAATGATCTTAATGAATAGAAACAGAACGTAGAACGTTTAACTCTATTTCTAAAGTCAAGTGGCAGGAATGAATTTCCTTTTGAATAAAAATTAAGAATAAATTTTACTTATAAAATTTTTTATTTGAATCAATTATTTTAAATTTAACATATGATATTATTTAATATTAATAATTTATTAATAATAATTTTTAACACAAAAATTAAATTCAGATCTCTTACTTTTTTTTTAAAATAATTTTTTGTTTTTTTTACATAGCCACTTGTGCCATAACCAGAACTTCGCCATGCTCATTCATAATTGAGTGGCATTTCTTTTCTATTTCACATGGAGCTGAGCTCTGGACGCTCACCCGCATATCCGCCTACGGTGTCTAGTGCTGGTAATAGTGTACATTTCCATCCGCCCAAACAGTTTATCTCTGATTATTTTTTTAAAAAAAAACAAAAAACAAAAAAAAATTGATCTCGTCACGGTATTCTCCAATAGTCTCACTGCAGTTTAAAAAGTTGTCGATGAAATACATTTTAATTGGTGATCGAATCTTATTAAAAAGTAAAATATTAACTTTAATTTTTAATTTTTAATCATTGTTTTTATATATAAAAAAAAAAAAACTGATCTCGTCACTGCAGCGTCACATGCTGGCATTTTGTTTTCTATGGGTCAATAGTTGCTTTTCTGAATCATTTTTCCTGCTTTTGCCGAAAGTTGTTTCCTGTTTACCGTACTGGGCAAATAGTAGATTAAATAAATAAATAAATAATAAATACTTAGTTATATGTAAATAGATATTAATTTGTTTTTAATTTTAGTTAGAGAATAAAAATATTCAGTTATTTAATGATTAAAAAGTTGAAAAATTAAAAATTAAAAATATGATAAAAATAAATTTTTATATTAATAAATAAATAAATATTAGTTTAATATTATAATAAATAAAAATTATTTTATTGTTAAGTTTATTTTATAAATTGTATAAGTATTTAAATTTAAAATATATTTAAAAATAAAATTTAAAAACTTAATATTAATATTAATTTTTAAATTTAAATATTAATATTTAACAAAATAAATTTTTAAATTTTAATTAAATAAAATAAAATAATTTAAAGTTAAATTAATATTTTTGAAAATCAAGAATATATGTATTTTTATTTTATATTTTTATCCCTTTAAATTTTTAAATTTTAACTAAATATAGTCATTGTAAAACTCAAAATAAGTATTTATTATTGATTTAGTTATAATCAATAATCAAAATTTTAAACCTAATTACTTTGGTCACTAAAATAAAAATTCATAAACATTTTTAATTTGGCTTTAATTTTTATAAAATAAGTAAATAATTAAGTATTAATTTCAATTATACCAAAATCAAGTACCAATTAGTACCCTCACTTTAATTATTCATTTATCCTAAAAGGAGTCTGTTTATTTTTATTTCTTTATGTTTTAACGATAATATAATTAAAAATATATATTATTTTTTTAAATTTTAATTTAAAAATAAAATAAAAAATATGTATTATTCTAAAATAGAAGAACTAATATGCTTATATCATTTTATATTTAAAGACATAAATAATTTTCTTATACTAGGAGTAATTACTATATCTAGAGTATTGAATAAAATTTAAATAGTATATGTTTCAAAAGTAAATTTTTTTATTATAAATTTAAAAATTTGCTGGTAGAGAATTCAAAATTTTACATTTTAATGAAAAGAATTATCTTTTTAATAATTTTTGATAATTATATTAGCTATTTTAATTGTTATAGAAAAATAACTTCCAACTTTTATAAAGGCAACTTTAATTTAATTTAGAGTATTTATATGGGCAGGGTCAGGTTTATACTCGCCTCCAGCAAAGTCTTTCTTTTTTATGCAATAAGCTTCTATTGTTGGTTCTACTTGCATTTGCTTAGCATCTTCTAGAAACTGCATCCTGCTATTGCCTGGTGCCTACTTAAGTTGTTTCTTCTCCTTGATTAGTCGGCGTATGATCAACTCCTCGCATCAGAAATTGAACCTGCTGCTACATCTAATAATTTGCTTTGCTTGACCTAATAAGTTGGTTATTGGTGTCCACCGGCCTTTTGCTATTTATTCGGCTAATTATGCAGGTACACTATTTATTTAGATCTTCAATCTTGATTTTATAATAAGCTTCTATTGTTGATTTCACTTGCACTTGCTGAGCATCTTACAGGAAATAAATGCTGCAATTGCCTAGTGCACGTTGTTTCTTCTCCTTAGTTGACGCATCAACTCCTCGCAACAGAAATTGAACCCGCTGTTGCTAGTAATTTGCTTTGCTAGGCACAAGTTGGTTGCCAGTGTCCAACTTTACTTATTTCTTCTGCTAATCTAGCACGCATCGTAGGTACACCGTCAATTCATATCTTCAAGATTCTGTTTATTTTTTCTTTATTATATATCTCAGTGTTTCTTCTGAATTAATTCATGACCGTAATGTTAGATTTAGTTCTTTCTTCGTTAATTCTTTTCCTATTCTCATTATCATATTATTATTATTATTTTCTTTTTTGAGCAATTTGTTTGATTCTTCATTTTCATGTTTTATACTTAAAAATTTTATTTTACAATTTAAATTTATTAAATTATATAATATAAATTATTAAATAAGAAGGTAACACCAATGTTAAAAGAATTAACTTTCATTTTATAATTAATGCGAAGGGTGGGCAAATACCGGTTTCGTTAAAAGCCGATACCGGAAAGTAATTAACCGATTTGTTTCCTCTTTTTTCATGACCGAAACTGATACCAGAATCCTTTTATCTTTTCGATATTGGATACCGAAAATTTTCGTATTTATTTTTTTGATTTTGATATTCATCGAAGTTGCTGTTGCAGAGCGGAGAAAGGAGAGGGAACATCGGAGAAGATGAAATATTAGGAAGAGGGGTTAGAAGTAGATAAAGATTACGAAGAGAATGGAAAGAAAAGGCATGGTAATATGATATATAATCTTGTAGGGTTTTATGCTTTTTTATTTTTTATTTTACTTGTTTTAAGTCTTTTGGGCCTAAAAATAGACCCTCAGTGCAGTTGATCTGGAGGCGCTAATCGGTATGGGTTAATAAACCTTCAAACCAAAATCAAACCAAAAAGCTTATAAATTAATATCAAAACTGAACTTAAAATACCATATAGCGGTGGTATCAATCCGAATTTAAATTTTTGTGTCGGTGATCGGTTATCCATTCGGGTAACAACCCGAACGCCAACCCTTACCCAGCCCTACGCGTACCGATAGCTGTCGTATCTTGCTTTCATTGTTGTTCTAAAGATTTCAAGGACACTGTTCACGCTGAGATGTGCTCTAGTCTCTAGACCCTCACCCCCCTGGTATGGACAAGAGTGAAAGGAATCCCGAGGCAGAGAAAAATATCTGAGGAAAGAGAGAGAGATACAATTGTGAATTGTGAATCGTGTGCAAAAATTTGGGTAAAATCCCACGTTACGTTATTAAATTTATTTCAAAATTTTTATTAAATTTTTTAAATTTTAATTGAAGTCAATAAATTTTAAAATTTAATCATTTAAGTAATTTAATTTTTTTATAATAAATTTAATATTTATTTATATTTTATTTATATATATTTTTAAAAATATTTATATAAATAACCAAGTTGCCTGCTGCTCATACTTCTTCGCAAAACCCCCTTTTGCAATTAAAGCTTCTCAAAACATTTGCTAGTTAAATAAAAGATAAAAATATATTTTCTTAATAAGCTGAATTGATGAATTAGAAAGGATTATATATAAGATGAATTACATATAAAAAGCTAAAATCAATTGCAAATTTTTTTAATATTACTTTTTCTGCTGCTAATTTTCTATGTTAAACATTAATATACACCTTATATGATCTTTTTTTGTGAGTGTACAAAAAATAACATGAAGTACAATTTACCCACGTAGACACAGCCATCCTCAACCTTAGCACTGTCACCCAAAGCAATGGTTACAAATTATATAAAATACACATAAGTATATACATAAATTAAGTTATAAAGTCTTAATTGAACACTTATAAATTGAATAAGTTAGGGTTATTCACGTAACTTAAAAAAAAAATAAAAAAAAAAGTATTAACCAAAGAAAGATGAAAAAAAGATTCCCCTGAAGACATGCTTTAAAAATCAATATAGTCCACTATTCTTTTTTCAGAGGATATAATTGAACAGGTAATTTTAGTGGACTTAAGAACACTTCAAGAATAGAGAAGCATTTCGAGTCACCTACAAAATTATTTGGCACCTATTAATTTTTTATCTAAAGAAAATTTATTCTTCGCCCAAAAGCAACAGAACCCCTTTGGTCAATTATAATTTAAGTAGATTTTAGATTTTTTACAGTAAAGGATTTTTTAGCTAGCATTAGGGGAGTGATTGGGGGATCAAAGTTTAAGAATTGAGAGGGTTGTGAAAGGGAAGTTATCTAATTCTATTTATTATTTTTAATGATACGACATTTCTTGATGGTGGCTGTGCATACTACTACTCAATCTATAATTGCGTGATGGCTGAGGTCATGGTCACCTCAAATTTGTTAAACTTACTGGAATTGTGAATTTTTTTTTAAAATTTTATTATTAAAAATAATTAATATTTAATTATAAAATTATTATATATTAATTTTGATTTAAAAAATTAAAATTTTAATTTTAGATAATGTTATTTTATTTAATTAAATTTTAATTTAAATTTTAAAATGTTATTTTATATAACTTTAGATTATTAAAATATTTTTAAATTAATTTTTATATATTTTAAATTAATTTTTTATATAATTTTATGAAAATACTTCTCACATTAATTTAATATATTTAAATAAACAAATGTATTTAATTATTAACTTTAAAACTTAAATCATAAATCTTATCGTAAATAAAACACTTAACCAATAAATTCAAGTCCTGTGGAGTTTAGAATCAATTAAGACCTAATGGAGGACAATCTTACTTTCACATACTTGCAAAGCATCTTAGGGAAAAGATGTGCTCCTACTTCTCTCTTCTAATTGACTTCAACTTGCTTTAATTAAAATATTGTAATTACCTTACATAACTGTACCTTTTTTTATCACTTTGCATATATATATATATATATATACACACGTATATATATATATATCCATTTCGCTGCCACATCGCCAAGCATCTTCCAGGAAATATACAACTAATCACTTATTTAAGTTTGCTCTTCTCCTTGCTGGCTCGCCTTTTCTTATAACCAGACACTGTTTGGCTTGCAATTGGGTTCGTAGATCTGTTGCTGCTTCTAATTTTTTTGGCCAAACTAATTCGATTATCAGTGTCCATTTTCTTTAATTTTTTTTATTGAATTTACTAGTATATTGTCTATTTAAATTTTTTACCTTAATTCTATGTACTTATGTTATCTTTAAAGTATGTATATTAAATGAAAAAAAATATTTATTTCTTTATTTTTTTTTTTGCGAGAGCTGGACTTTATTCAAAATCTCCAATATCCCTTCATTTTGAAATTGTTTTTTAGCAATTGTTAGCTTCTTTTTCTTTAAATGTGCTTTTACCTAATTAATTTGTAGTTACTTAACACATCTTTATGAGTTTTTCTTTTGGATATTTTAACTAAATATACATGACTGACTTAACTGTAAGTGATCATATTTAAAATTTGTTTTTCTTTTAGGACAACGGCTAGGGCTCCAAAGAATTGAGCTTGCAACTAGATTTGCTGTTACTTGTAATTTGCTTAGTTTAATTTGGTCATCATCATCAATTTCTTCAGTTTCATCTATTAAACTTACAGGTATAACATCTAGATCTTCTATCTTATTCTCCTTTTTTGATATTCTTCCATAGTGATTCTATTAAGTTCTCCTTTAACTATATAATGAAAAAGTAGATACAATGGTATATCAAAAGATACAAACCATTTTAGTATATCAACCCCCAGTTACTGTCCACTACTCTTCCAGAATAATCCCGGTTGACATAATAATTAGCTGTTTTATTCAAATTATTATCCGATAGATATTTAGTAAATTTTTTTTTTTTTTTAAACCACTATGCAATAAATATTTAATAAAATTTTTATTTAATGATTTAGAACTAGTAATTAGGGCTAATTTACTGGTGAAATGCACCAAATTGCTGGAGAACAAATATTCTTTTATTTTATCAACAAAATTAACCATTGAAATTTAAATATATTAAACCCTTAATATGAAAACAAAAACGTGTTTCAAATTGGTCTGCACAATAAAAAGTATAGTATCACCTATGAATGCATTAAAATTAATATTCTTATTCAGACTCTTCTTTATATTATTTTATTAATATAGTTTTAATAATCTCAAGCTTGGAAAATAGAAATCTCATAGAAAAATTCAAGGTATGAAAAAAAAAACCTAAAAACTGATGCCATGTTAAAGAGAATGGGAAAAATTATAATCTCTTGATGTTAAAAATATTTAGACATTTAATCAAAGTTACATAATAAAAGAGATATAAGTAGCTCTTAATTGAGTTCATTTATCATGTAATTGATATTAAATATTCTTATATTTTAGATGTTAGAGATGTTTGGCTCTTTACGTATCTTTCAATTAAAATAATATGACACTGTGTTGTACATGGTCATCATCCATGGATCCCCATTCCAAATTTTTATTAAAAAATTACTAATTAGGATATTAGTTAGGGTACTTTTCAGTTTAATATATTTTATAATATATTTATTAAAAATTATTATTTTTTAATTTAAATTAAAAATAAAAAACTTAAAACTATAAATTTTAATGACTAAATAATATGTGTTAATGAATGTATTAAATCAAATAATATAACAATCATTTTCTTTCTTATTAATATTTTAAAAAAATTAGGTATTGCATTAAAAGTTGAGATTATAATTTTATTTTTTATATAAATTTAAAATTTATTAATTAGTACATTTTTCAATTTAACACACTTCACAATATATTTATTAAAAATTATTAATTTTGAATTTGAATTAAAGGTAAAAAACTTTAAAATGAAAATTTTAATGACTAAATAGTAAGTATTAATGAATGTATTAATTTGGATAATATTTAAAGAAAATTAAATGTTGCATTAAAAGTTCAGATTATGCATTTTATTTTTTATATTGGTTTAACATTTATAATCTTTTAATAAAAAAATTTTATTTACTTATATATATTTAACAACTTAAAACCTTGTTATACATATAAGTAATCTTAATCCTTTTCAAATAATTTTTACCATCTAATATCACAATAAAAAAAAGAAAGAAAAAAAAAAAGAGAACCTTATATTTCAATTTTTTCCACAAAAACTTAGATGGAGGTAATTTAATTTAGAATATTTATATGGATTGGATGTGAAATAATGTTTGTTTTCGTGTATTTTACACTTTTATCTTTCAAGTTATTTATTTATTTATTTATACAATAAGATTTTCTCGTTGATTTCACTTGCATTTGCACAGCATCTTCCAGGAAATGCACCCTGCTATTGCTTAGCGCCTATTTAAGTTGTTTCTTCTCAGTTGGCTCATCAACTCCTCGCATCGGAAACTGAACCTGCAGCTACTTCTAATAATTTGCTTTGCAAGGCCCAAGTTGGTTAGCAGTGTCCAACTTTACCTATTTCTTCTGCTAATCTTGCATTGTAAGTACATCATCCAGCTGTATCTTCAAGATTCTTTTTATTATTTTTTAATATATATTTCTGACCAAATCTCCTATTTACACCCTACATTTTTTTTTTTTGCTATCAACACCTTAAATTAATTTTCATTTTGATCAACACCTTTTACTATTTAAAACCCACGAAAAATCCAAAAATTTAGAGCCAAACTCTTTATTTGCATCATAATTTTATTGGTAATTAATTTGAGACTTTTTATGAGTTTGAAATTATGAAGAGTGTTAACTAAGATAAAAATTAACTTAAAATGTTGACCGTAAAAAAAAAAAATATATATATATATATATATATATATATAAAGTATAAATAGAAAGTTTGATCAATATCTCAATGTTTCTTATGAATTAATTCATGACATATTGTCAGATTTAGTTTGTGTTTTCTTTATTAATTCTTTTTAGATTCTCATTATCATGTTATTATATTTTACTTTTTTGAGTGATTTGTTAGATTCCTCATTTTCATATTTTGTGCTTTTTCCTAGTAATTAATTTAGTAGCCACTTAATTAATTGATACTCTATTTGAGGTCTCTCTCGTTTTTTGTTGGTCACTTCAAGAGAAGTAATATAGAAATTTATGCCTCTCTGTGATCTTATTTGAATCATGTTTTTCTTTCAAAAAAATATCCATCAACCTCACTTATAAGAAAAAATAGGCTTGAAATTAAAATCAAGTAGACCTATGCTACCCTCTAATTTGGTGGGCTTTATTTGTTTCTCAATGTCTAATTTCTGCAATACCTTCTTCTAAACTTGTAGGTACACAATTCCTTTAATTATACTCTCTTTGAAGTAAAAAATGAGAAAGTATATACCTTTTTACATCCAAAGAAATAATGAAAATCTTCTTAGACGTAACAGTCTCGTGCCACATGTTTTTATTGGTTGTTTTTAGAATTATTTACTTTGAAAACTTTGACATATTATAAATTGAATTTAATTAAAATATTTTTAATTATAATTTTATTGAAATGACTAAAATTTTAATTTTCTCCTTTCATATTCTCATTTTCAAATTTTTTAGCATGTTGCTAGATTCTTTTGTAGTTATTTTAATTGATAATCTTGTGAGATATCCTTTGTTTTAAGTGATTCAAATATATTAATATAGAAGTGTATATCTCGTAATGATCATATTTGAATCATGTTTTGTCTTTTAGAAAATACCCATCAATCAAACCTCTCTTTATCAGAAAGATCAGGTTTGCAATTGCAATCAAGAACTGTTGCACGCTACTTGTAATCTGCTTGGCCCAATTTGTCTGTGTCCAATTTCTTGAATAACTTCTTCTAGACCTGCAGGTACACAATTCCTTTTGTCATTCTTTTCAGGTATAAAATGAATGTAAAATTATCTTTTCTGCATGGACTGCATAAAAAAAATATCTTTCGAGTATTAAAACTACCAAAATACCATTAATAAAACTTCATTCCATATTAATTCATTAATAACATTTTAGTGGTACAGTTGATACCGAAGGAACTGAACTCATTAAATAAAAAGGTACAAAATACAAATACAAAGTGCAGTCTAAGATACAAATCATTTGCGAATCTCAACCTCTAGACACAGGATCTCTACCTTAAGGCCTCGTCTGAAATAGAAAATTGGATTCGATTAGATGTGATATTATATATTAAAGTCTTGGGAAATGTTTGGTTGATTATTGGATTAAAGTAAGATTAGATAAATTTTTTTATACGGATAAAATTACCCTTATATTATAATGAAATCTAATAAAAATTTATTTTATTTATTTACCATTAATCATAAGGACATTTAATAGTGAAATTAATTTAAGTAATTATAAGATAAAAAATTTGAAATAATTATCATTAGTCATTTTTGTCAAAACAATTATAATAATTATTAATTAGTTTCTCATTTTTTTGATAAGTTAATTAATTACACATCAACTATTGTAATTAACTGTAATAAAAAATTTTCATTGTTTTCGTGCAACCCAATTCGTCAGGCCACAAAACTGATTATAAAAAAGAAGAGTTTTAAGGGAAGTCGATGGTTGACGCTCATGTCTTCTGCCTTGGGGAACGTGCAAAGCTGGAAAAAGCTAGGCCCCAGCCATGGTCTCTCATTCGTGGGACTGTTGGTTGTCGCGGTGCTGAACCGACGTGAAGGTAAGGGAGAAGCATCGGTTCGTTTAGCTACTCACGGAGAAGATGGATTCTGGCGACCGGCATACTGTCGTCGGTGCTCTGTTGATGTGCGCCGTCTCGATCGTAAAAAAGGCATTGGCCAGAAAAATATTAACAAAAAGGGTAGAGAATCATGGCAAAAACTTATTTTTAGTTTCTTATTTTGTTAAGTTTAAAAGGTTTAATCTTCCACTTTATTAAATTTATGAGGATAAAATTTATAAATCTAGTCAATTAAACAGTTAAAATCTTTAAATTTAACGGGGTTGAAAGTAGGGTTTTACCTTTATAGGGGTAAAAAAGTAAAATCAGATTTTATCCCACCAAATCCCAGGGGAAGGTGGGATATCTTTTACGAAAGGAGCTTAGGATGGGATAAAATACGGGATAACAGTTGTACCATCCTGTAACCACACCAAGCATGGGATATAGTGGGATGAGACAAAAATTTTGTAATATCTCGCTGTTTGTCCGGTGCTCCAAACGCACTGTGAGTTTCTAATTCATCAACTATTAATAAATTGGAAAATGATTTAGGAATAATTTTTTTAGTTATATGTATTATTTAAATGATTAATATTTTTATTAATTTAACTTATAATATTAAATGTATTTATTTATTTAATAATATGTAAAAATTATATAAAAAATTATATAGAAAAATTATCTTTATATCTATCACCTTAATAAATAAACTTCATCCATGCCAAGAATAGTAAATGTTTCTTTATTTTAAATTTATCTCAAAATAATAGTATTTATATATATTTTTTAGAGGAGAAATAATTTTAAGTTTATTTTAAATTTGTTTGATACAATAATTAAAATATAATATAAATGTATTTGATTTAACAAGTTCTTATGTATTGTTCTTATGTATACATTTTTAATTTCGATGGTTTGAATATTGAAAACTAC